CTTCCTCTTCCTCAATGCCACCATGTTGATCACTCACATTTGGTACACTGCTCTTCTCTTCATCCAAATCAATAGTTATCTCTACCTATCTAACAGTGTTCCCTACCCGACCCTCCCACCCCTGGCAACCAACAAAGAAAATTAACTTTCATATCTAAACCTTTCCTTGACTTTTACGATAACGGACTAATACAATATTTGTCCTTCTGTGACTGACTTATTTCACTCAGCATAATGTCCTCCAAGTTCATCCATCTTATGCAGTGTTTTGCAGATTCTAGGTTATGCTTTAGGGTTGCATAGTATTCCATTGTGTGTATGTACCATAGTTTGGTTATCCATTCCTCAGTTGATGGGACACTTAGGTTGTTTCCATATTTTGGCTATTGTAAATAGTGCTGCAATAAACACGGATGTGCATATGTCTGTTCTTGTCATGGTTCTCACTTCTTTGATATGTATCTAGTAATGGAATGGCTGGGTCAAATGGGATTTCTAATTCTAACTTTTTAAGGAATCGCCATATTGCTCTGCACAGTGATTGTATCATTTTATAGTCCCACCAGCAGTGGATCAGAGTCCCAATCTCTCCACATCCTCACCAGCATTTGTTATTTTCTGTCTTGCTGAATTTTGCTACTAGTGCTGGAGCAATTTGGTATCTCATTGTTGTTTTGATTTGCATCCCTCTAATGGCTAGTGATCGTGAACATTTCTTCATGTTTGTTGGCCACCTGAATATCCTCCTCGGTGAAGTGTCTAAAAAATGGGGAGAAGACTTGAATAATTAGATTATTTGTCTTTTTGTTATTGACGTGTTGGATAAAGTCCCTTGTCAGATACGTCATTGCGAAATATTTTTTCCCAATCTGTAGGTTCTGTTTTGACTTTTTTGGAGAAGTCTTTGGAAGCACATAAAAATTTAATTTTGAGAATGTCCCATTCATCTAGTTTCTCTTCTGCTGTTTGTGTGTTTTGGGTTATACTAGATAGTCTATTTACACCATATATTAGGGCCCCTAAATTTGCCTCTAGTTTTTCCTTGAAGAACTCTATAGTTTTATGTTTCACATTTAAGTCTTTGATCCATCTGAAGTTAGTTTTTGTGTATAGTGTGAGGTACAGATCTTGTTTAATTTCTCTGCAAATGGATATCCAGTTTTGCCAGCACCATTAAGTAAACAAACATTCTCTTCCGCATTTAATGATTTCGGACCTTTGTCAAAGATCAGCTGACCACAGGTCGATGGATCTATTTCTGGGTTTTTAATTCTATTCCACAGGTCTACGTGTCTGTTATTGTAGCAATACCAGGCAGTTTTGACTACTGTGGCTGTACAGTAGGTTTAGAGATCCAGCAGTGTGAGACCTCCTACTTTGTTCTTCTTCTTCAACAGTGCTAGTTCTTTGCTTATCCAAGGTCTCTTTCCATACCATATAAAGTTAGTGATCGGTTTTTCCATATCCTTAAAAATGTTGATGGGCTCTGGATTGGGATTGCATTGAATGTATAGATTGCTTTCGGTAGAACTAACATTTACACGATGTTCAATCTTCCTATCCATGAGCATGGAATGTTCTTCCATTTATGTACATATCTTATGGTTTCTTAAAGTAGTTTTTTATAGTTTTCTTTGTAGAGGTCTTTTGTGTCCCCCAGGTTTGTTTTTACTATTTCAACTGTGACAGGGGCAGCTCTACCAATGCATGTAAATCTAGTGTGTTTCACACCACATTTATATTGGCCCTACTGGCATGTCCCCTGAGCTTAAAGGTTTGGCATTAATCTATCCTGTTATTACATTAGACTCTTCTTCTGACTGGGACTAGAAGAAAGGATTGAGGTAAAAGGGGAATGTTTTTCTAGTCTTCTATTCTTCTTCATAATTTTGTTAAATGTCCTGCACTAGAGGTTCTTCCCTAGTCAGCAGTGTATATGTTCAAATTACAGGTGACCTTGCATTTTAGATCTTTCTTCCACCATAAAGACCCATGGGAACATTTATCCCTGAGTAATTATCTCCCTTGCCTTCTCCACTTCTACCCTGTTCAGAATTGAGAGGGGAAGTTCAAGTGTGAAAACAGTTTCTTCTAGTATTGGCTTTGGTTATGCTTATCCACAGCAGAAGTAAAGGGCTTAAATTCAGTAAAGGGTATGAAATTCAGTGAGTTAGATCCTAGGTTATCTAATCCCCCACAGTTATTTTCTCTCTTCCTTTAAGCTTTTTTTAATAAGAGATGATTCATTCTATCAGATTTTTCCTCATTCTACAGTCTTCCTCTTGAACACGGTAGGTAAGAAGACAACAGCAAGCTTTGGAGTTATTTTGGCCACTTATCCAAAAGGCTTCAAGGAGAACACTGTGTCTTTTCCAGTGAGTTTCTATTCTTCCAGTCTGCTTCCTACAAACCTGACAGGATTTTTCAAAATTTTATTGATTCACCTTCCTCCTCATTGTTGCTCTCACAGAAGATGGGATAGAACTTCTTGTACATATCAAGAATAATGTTTCCAATTGTGCTGTCTCTCTGCCAGTACTTCGCAAAATTTATGGTACAAGGATGAGTTCCTTACCTAGTTTCAGGGCTGCTACACCACATAACTAGTATTGTCTTCTTCTTTACAGTCATTTAATTACGTTGAGGAGGGATGTTTTATGATCATGCACACATCTATCCTTCCCTGAAAGTCCCCAAAGCACCTTTTTGCTTACTGGTTATAGTGTGCTGTCAATACTTGATCATATACTACGTAAAGACACTGCTTTCGAGATGGATCTGAGTCATAGCGACCCCCCCCCCTTGGGTTTCTGAGGTGGTATCACTATGGAAGTAGATTGCCCAACCTTCCTTTTGAGGAGTGGCTGGTGGATTTGAACCACCAGACTTCTGGTTAGCAGTCAAATTCCTTAGGCACTACACTACCAGAGCTCCCATTAAAGGGATATTGTTATTGTTGTTGCTGTTATGTGCTGTCGAGTCGAACCCAAGTCATAGCAACCCCTCCTTGGGTTTCCGAGGCAGTATCACTACGGAAATAAATTGCCCCATCTTCTTTCCGAGGAGTGGCTGGTGGGTTTGTAGAGCCCCTTTATTCAAAATTCAACATGATTTATCAGAGAAGACTTCCTAAAACTGTTTTTAAGTTAAATTTTGGAGGAAAAGATAGATAATCATTAACAAGGAAGAGGCAAAAGACAATCTCAAATGATAGGAAAACTATGTAAAAACATGTAGAGATGGAATGAGCAAACAAGACATGGGGAGTGGAAAGATTTCCTTTGCTTTTTTGAGGTCAAAGCTAAATAGGGGAGTGTTGAAAAATGACAATAATAAAGTCTGCGAAAGGAAAGGACAGACAGGAATTAATTTTCACACAAAGTTGAGGAGTGTCAGCTTTCCAGGCAGATCAGATAAGGGGCAGTATGTTCCTCAGCACGATTATGTCTTTTAAAAAACAAGAGATTATCCTAATCACTTTTAAAATGGATTAGAATAGTGAGAAGAAAACAACCATACAAACTAAAGAGGCTCCTGAAGTCTGTGAAAAATGAAAATCATGACCTTGCTATCAAAATAGAGAAGAAGATATTATGGAGACAGATAAGCAGGTTTATATGCTGGACCAAATGTAAGAAGGGGAGACAATGGTTATAATAAATGAGAAATATAGTCCAAGGTTTCTTGCCTTAGTGGCTTAAGGGTAAAAATAACAACAACAAAAATATTAAAATCTAGAATTATCAGGTTGCAGTGGTGTATCTTTCTTTTTATAATACATAAAATTTGTTAACAACCAAATAGATCTACTGAATGAATTATGTTATTAAGGTTCTTATTATACTTATTTGTTTTTTGTCCTTATACTCTGATATAGACCAAGAGAAGTACATTGACATCTCCCAACTATTAATATGATCTTCTCTATTTCCACTGATATCTCCTGTAATTTCTGGATGTTGATGTTACATTCTTTATTGTTAAGATATTCATCATTTTTACATCTTTATTGTCTTAATTCTTCTTGCTCTGAAATTAATCTTCCCAATACCAAGATTTCCAACTTTACTTTTTTCAAAATGTATATTTGCCTGATATACCTTTGACTATCCTTTCATTTTTCACCTGAGTCACTTCTATATATATCTGATATACTACAGCATACAATGCTTTATAAACTAATATGAACACTATTTTCTTTAAATAGGTAAGTATAGTTTATTAACTTTTATTGCTATCAGAAATAAATTTGGTCTAAGGTCTTTTATATTATGCTTTCTGTTTTATGGGTTTTAAAAAATATCATACAAAGTGCTTTGTTTTCATAGCTTTTTTTAAAAAAAATATGCCATATGTTTTTTCTAATAAATGAAAAAGTTTTGTATTTTGTTTAAAGTTATTTTCAAAACCATAATCTCCTATAATACTATTCTTTTTTTTAGATATCTATTGTATCCCTACTGTGAATAGGTCTAAATTTATGTATGTCCTTTACTTTCACACTTAATCTATTTTCTGATCACACTATTATTCTTAATGTTTACCTTTGTACTGTTAAATGTTCTTATTATGTCTCTACTACTTGTCAGCTTTAAACAGTATGTTTTGATCTAAATGGGGAAATGTAAAACAAATAAAGCATTCAGATGTTTACTTTTACAGGGTGAAAAAAAACCCCAGCAGTATAGCTGGAGTAATTAGTGACTGTTTAAGGGAGTAACAGGACATAAATTTGGCAATCTCAAAAAAATTACATAAAAAAATATAGATCTGGAAATGTTTTCCTCTATTGCTTCAGAGAACATACTACCATATATTCCCTGTTGAATCAAAGGACAGAACGTGACATAAAGAAAAACTGTCGAATGTTATATGATTGTAATTTTTAACATTCTCTTTGAAAACTGATAGGCCTAGTACTTCCCTGTCTAGAATAGCCCCTTTCACTAGGTAGTTTATAAAGATAGTCAGAGAGAACAACAACAAAAAGTAATACACACCTCTACCTCTTCTGACATTAGAGAATTCCTCATTTTCTCCACCCCGTTTCTCATGGTGTGGTGCTCCACTATTGCTTCTGCCATCTTCTCCTCCATGCTTTACTTCACCTTTTCCTTCAACTGCTACCACCTGCATATCTCCAATGCTGCCATTTGCAGAAGATACTTGACCATCTTCAGGAAAACCAGAATCTTCCAAGGGTTGATTGGGATCACCACTCAAGTAGTATCTAAATGGTCCAATGTTTGACGAAAAGTTGTCTGAAGACTACAAATTTAAAACAACACTTAGTTAAGAGCCATAAAAATAATACAAAGTATTCATGTTAAAAGAAGAAATACTGTTTTTCTAAAATCTTTTCTCATGTTATTATAGGAGATTTTTTTTTTTCCCCTGAAAAAGTTTCTCCATATTCTGCTTCCTATATTCAGGGAAGAAATGGAATAGGAATGATGTATCCATGTGTTAAAAATTAAAAAATTTGGTAACAGTTTTCACTGAGTTAGTCATACATACAAGAAACATTTATATATTGCTCTTAACCTAGTTACTATGTTAACACTCTAGGGATACTATGAATAAAGATAAAATCCTGGTCTGGAAGAATATACAGTCTTAGTAAGGAACTCAGATAACTGAGATTATTACAATGTAGTTTGATAAGTGTTATGAAAAAGATCTGCAAAGGCTATTTACAATAGCCAAAACATGGAAACAACCTAGATGTCCATCAACTGAGGAATGGATAACTAGACTATGGTACTTACACACAATGGAATACTATGCAACACTAAAGAATAATGTAGAATCTGCAAAACACTGCATAACCTGGATGAACTTGGAGGACATTATGCTGAGTGAAATAAGTCAATCACAAAAGGACAAATATTGTATTAGTCCGTTATTGTAAAAGTTAAGGAAA